CCTCGTAGAATTTGTCTCTGACGGCGTCGGGGTTGGTCATCGTCGGAGCGTAGGCGCTGATGATGGTGGCGAATTTGCCTCCCCAGAGAGGCAGGCGGAGGCTCATCAGGCGATCGTTGATGCCCTGCGGCAAACAGGGCAACTAGTACTCTACACTGGATCAGACGTGAATTTAAAATATTTCCTTCCGAACTCTTCGAAAGACTCTTTGGTGTCTTTGTTAGACCTCATCTAGAGTATGGAATGCCAGCAGCTTCACCATGGATGAGGAAGGATATCAACTCACTCGAACAGGTGTAACGCAGATCGACAAAGATGGTCGACGGTCTAAAGCATTTGTCTTATCAGGAGAGGCTGAATTTCCTTTGCCTATTCCCTTTCTCGTATAGACAAATAATCTGCAGTCTACTCTGGACGTTGCTAATTGTTCGCGGCCAGGGTTGCTCATTAAGAGCAGAGGACTTCTATGAGTTCGCCCGTACAAACCAACTACGCGGCCATGCATTCAAAGTCGGGAATGAACGCACGCGTTTAGACCGACGAAAATTTTCATTCAGCCAGCGGGTTGTCAGGCCGTGGAACTCGCTTCCAAGCGAGATCGTGACGGCTGACACAGTTTGTGTGTTTAAAAGAAAACTTGCTCGTATAGTTTCCAACAGAAATCGGCTTGTACAGCATGACTATGCACAGTCAGTTTTGTAAGATCTGTCATATACAATCTTCCGCACTAATTTACAGTGACCCTATGCACTACTTTATGATTACGATTGACCTGTGACCCAATCACATTTTAAATGCCTGCAATTTTATTTTATTTTTGAGTATGAATCTGCAAAAGCACTGTACATGAATAGGGTCATCAAGGGCTCTGCCTGTAACAATATATACATATATACATAAGAAACATAAAAACGGCTGACGCATAGTCTGTAGAGATATGCTGATTACCAATAAAACTTAACTTATTCTATTATTGTTCCAACCGAATGGTTTGAATTCCTGTTCTTGTCCTTGCACTTCAGATGACTACATATTGTGCAAAATAAAAAATCGATTTAATTACATTATTCATTCTCTCAACAGATATTCATTCGACCCTTACAGGGTCTGTATAAAGATTATGCAATATGTCTAAATACCTCGGTATACTCGATCAAGAATTGAAACTGTCCGTGCAAGGACAACCGGAAATGTCTACTCCCGGCTTATTTGCCTTCGTTATCTAACGGCACAGTAAATCCAGGCGGAGTAAAACTGGTGCGAGAACTCGTATTTCCATGATACATCGACGGTAACGTGATTGCCTGCCTGCAAACTATTGACTATCAAAGCAAAGTCATTCGGCCAGGGATTAATCCTTTCAAAAGTTCTGATACCTTTTAGTTTCCATCATACTTATCGTTGAAAAACGTACACAGAAATTATAACAACCGGTTTTTAAAGCTTAGAAACAGGCAAAAATAAAATGCTGAGAACCTTTTCAAAACGTTATCTGATGTGTGTGAACTGTCCCTTTTTAAGACGAAAAAATCGAACTAGCATAATTCATGGACTGCGTTTTCCTGTATGCATACTATTCTAACGCTAGTAAACAGTTTTTGCAATTGACTTTTGTTTGAATCTACTCACCGGAAGAAACAGGGACTTTACGCCATACGTCGTATCCTGAGCAGTTCTCATAAAAATGGGTCAGCACCTAATCGAAAAAAGGATATCTCCACTCCACGATGGAACGTCCGTCGTTTAGCCGATGTTAGTCACCTTCGAGAAACCTAGGCCACTTCTATTTTTCATATATATTTATGACTTATCGTCCATATCTGCATCAGCTATGCGGACGACCGGAAAGTTGCATATGCATATATCTGGAATACAGTAGACAATATACACAGAACAATTGACCTCGATCTCAGAAAACTCAGTGAATGGAGTAGTCAATAGCAGATGCTCTTTTCGCCCCAAAAATGCCATCTCCTCATCTTTGGCCCACAAAAACTTCCGCCATATTATTCGAGGATAATGGAATAACGGAATTCAAGTCGAGTAAATACTTAGGTCTCATCATACCTATTCCCTTGACTTATCTCCCTCGTCCAAATAATACCACGGAAGTCCACTCGCCTGTGTGGATTCATATGTAAAAATTTCACCTTAAATACGCTAAGAATACAGCTTTTCAGAATGTACGTTTTACCTCTCCTAGATTATTTCTCAATTTTCTTCGGTATAATGCCCTCAGACGGCCGAAAGGAACAAGAAGGCATTCAGAGACGTTTTACTAGATCGTTGTCTAGAAGTGAGGGCACCCAGGGTTCATACTAAGAACTATATCACAAATACGGTCTTCGGCCCCTCTGGATCAGAAGACTTCAGCATGGTCTAAACTTCCTATTCAAGGTCACCCATGATCAAGATAGTCTTAAAATGAATTTTCTAGCATACCAAAACGCCCACAGAAGCAACAGAAATAACGAAGATATCATAAGGATCTCCAAATCCACAAAGTCCCAACTGTCAAATTTCTACTCCATAAGAAATGCGACTATCTGCAATGCTCTTCCAAGTTTTATCTGGAAAAGTTGAACCCTAATCGAGTTTAAAGTAAAAAGTAAGAAATTCCTTTCAAATAACAATGCACATTTATTTTTGAATAAGATTGGACATTTTTCAAGTTAATTCCTTGATATAGAATTCGGTTCAAAAGAGCTCTGATGATGCCAGCCGCTTGAATAATACCGGAACAGAGCACTAACAACAATCAAATCTATGAAAGAGAGCATCATTGATAAACATAGAACAAATAATGATATTCTTTCTTTCATCCCTTCCTCGCTTCCATCAGTTATGTCACCTGACATTAAATATCCCTTAAGATGCTAATAATAACATCCTTTTCGATAAAACCCTGCATTTAGTTGTGCGTAAGTCTATATTAAGGAAATATTAGACATATATACACCTATATTATATCATGGTAAGTAGTCGACCACTACTCCTATAATGTCACATTGACGATAGCAATACGATATATGATTCAATATTATTTTGACAGTTTTGATTGTGACTTAACATTGAATTTTTCTGGTTCCTGATATATATTCATCTTTTCCAGCTCTTAGTCCAGACAACTATGGTAAGCCTCCTGAGAAACACGAAGGAACCGTGCAACCGCCCCTTAGCAGCTGGCTAGATAGACTGACAACCAGCGACTAGAAGACACCCAAATTTATTCAACTCGAAAATAATTTCAATGTCAGGTCGTTATCAAAGTTCTTCAATTTCTATGAAGGACATAGTATTCATGCCCCCAAAACACTACCGAACTGCACACTTCAATTTTTATATTGTGCATATCGTTCTTTTTTAAAACTTTTGCGATTATTTTGCCTCGGAACTCAGGTTTTTTAATCTAAAAACAAACAGACACCCAAAACAAATGAAGTCAAAGTGCAGTCGAAATGGATGAGTTTGTTTCAGGATTTTTCCTGAGTTCAGACGAGACTGGCAGTGCCAAAGGGACGCTATGATAAACCTATTCATTCTTATTAGTCGATCATATGCATTGTACGTCTTACGCGTGCAGATTAATTGGTTCGCCGCAGGTGTGATGTTACTAACTGGAAGGGGCACCTGGCAATCTGTAAACGTCAACTGTCCCAGCATCCACTGCCATTGTTGGTTCAACCTCAAATATTTTCTGCATGTTTGCGTTGCAATCCGGCGGATGGTGACTTAGCCATTGTCCGATCATCAAAGGACAAAAGAAGTTTGTTTTACAAACTCAGTCAGACTACTGTGAGCCAATTCCAGGACCCGTGTCAACACCCCCAAGTTATGGAAGGGTTCTGTATTGCAATAAAATCGCACAGGCGTTAAATGGCCCCAAGATGCCATCCAGCACAATTTATGAGTACAGATTATTGTAAAAAACCTTAGCACAATGAACGGAGAATGACTTGACAATTTTTAGGATCAACAAGACAGGGCTAGAATAACTTGAACGAAAAAATTTTAGATTGGTTCATAACATCGACCAAAGGGCATTAGAGGGAAGAGAGGCAGTTTAACAGACGAATTTTCTGGCTGATTTAACTCGAAGATGACGCAGAGTGTGCGTCCTTAACCATGCGAGAGTTTATAAAGAATATCCTCCAATTTCTGGAATTCCGAATGTACCTGCATATCAAACTGGAAGGCCTGTGGCTTGAAATTTGTGTACCACACGTAGTCGGGGGTGAAAGTGTTCAGGCAGGTTTCATTCCAAGTGGCAGCCTGAGTCGCAGCTTCGCCGTCCGGCTCAATAACACGGTCAAGCACACGTGTGTATTTTATTGCCCACTTGTAGAACATAACAAGCAAATGGACCAGGAAAATGCATGCTATTGCCGTAGAGAGAAGGATCAGAAAGACCACGCTGCACTGGTCCCAGGCCTCTAGCTGCTGATCGATTGTAGGGGCAATAGCCGGCTTCAAGAGTAAATAAATTTAAGAAAACAGATATGAGCAATCCTTTAACAGTAGGCACTGAAAGGCGTTTATGTATTTTGTGCTTAGTCCTGCGTAAAACATTGAAATAAATGGCTACTGATGTGTATATAGTAGGAAAAATTGCACTGATAATACTGACTCGCAGGGGTCTGCCTTTACGTTACGCTGTCAGGACTTCAGTCAATGGTTACTTCAACACCAGAAACACTTGCCTATAAGCTACGGCTCGAGCTTAGTTGTGGTTACACGGATTTTATGGGAGAGTGGCCTAATGTATGCAGAGCATGACCTCCTTAGACGTTTACTTGTTCTTAGACAGATAAAGAAAACGGCGATCAGTAATGTCCGACATTCCCCACCCAAATAGCTTTAGCTAAACCATAAGAAAACTCATGAACTAAGGACCGCGCCATAAGTGCTCTTTCGATGTTCATCTGAATTAGACAAACAATACTTTTTCCTGTTATTCTGAAAAGCATAAAGTAGGCAGACGAAATAGTTATGGTGCAGAAAGATTCAAGCCAGTCTCTGCTCAACTGAAATCTCCCGCGTGTCGAAATCTTGTCCCAGGGGTTGACCTCATAAAATTCTTAAAGTCATCTCTGGATATTCAATCCTCACTTTGTACAAGGTCGGAATGTTCTCTTTTCTTTATCTTTTGACGCGCTTTAATGTCATTTCGGAGTAAACAACATCCTCCTTTTTAAAACTTTCGTCATGGAATTAAAAGCAAGTTCATGGTGGAACCATTTGTTTCTTTGATCGCTTTTCTAGAAACGTTTGTAGTATGAAATTGGCCCGCAGCTCTTGTTAGGCATCGGTTATGTCGCTGATGTCGCGCACGACATCTCAACCGCCTCAAGTGGTGGCATCCACCATTGTCCGCGAGGCGACTTAAGATTGACTCTATGATGAAGATTAACGCTGCATTTCCCTCTCGGTCGTTCTTCCAAGACGGCATGTCTCGATGTCAAGAAAATATAAACATGACTGGAGGTGGGCTTGAGTACATTGTTTGTGGAAGCTAAACATCCCGTTTATGCGCGCCACACATGACTGGCTATGTAATTTCACACATACACCCTGCTCTATTACGGGAGTTTTGGATCACGCACCTAACTCTCAGTCCTGAGTGGGACAGAGATATCTCACCAATCGGCAGCCTCCCAAGCCACGGATCTTAGCGCACAACGACGAATTCATGTGCGTTGGTTCGCGTCGGAGTGTTTTTTCCTCCCCTTTCTTTCTCGTACATCAATCGACCGTCCAAGCCTGTCAATGAAATGATGCTGACATTTGATGCAGAGGTTGATATGGCGTGAAGCCTCCTTCGGCGGCGTTCCACAAACTCGTACTACTGCAAATTTGAACTCACGGGGACTACGTGCAGTATGCTCCTCTGCTCGCCACGTAGCACAAAACGTTAGTCTTGTTTGCAGTCCGAACTTGTTAATGCTAGCCAGTGTTCATGAATTTGAGAGGTTGCAGATTTTCAGAGTTTACTACCATATATTGCATCAAAGCACTGCATGTAATCTTTAGACTTATTTCCTGCACAAATATCCAACCCTAATCCTGGAGTCGCGCACTAGGGCGTAATGATCTGCACGTCGCCTATAATTGGTGCTTTCTCAGGCACCTCTCAGCAAGTTGGAATATATTATTAGTTAAAGCGTAAGTTCTCTAGGGATTTGTTTCGCGCGCTTGGATGGAACCACCTAGTTTTTTGACTCTTCTACCTAACAAACGGTGCCCTTTTTGGGGCACGTTTATTAAACTGAATGCCCCCGCCACCTGTTCTTTGCGGTCCTATCAAACGGAATGTATTGCTGTCGCGCATTTAAGTCAAACAAGTTTCTGACGGTTTGCCTGGTTTACTGGGGAAGTATCAGCCCCATTGACCCATATGCAAACATTTCAGTCGATGATGTACCCAATTAAATTGTTTTTATACTTTTGTCTCTTGTCTAGCTGATTAACAATTTACGAACAAACACGCGGTTATTAATTTACAAAATCTTAATTAATACATTGTAAGTGCAGGAAATTATTTCGAAAGTCGAAGAGTACTACGGTTGTCACTGCATTTCCAGTTTTGGTAAGATACGAGGACGAGAACTCCCCTGTAATACACACGGCCTTTCGCTAGATTCCAGGAAGGGTGCCTTTTCCCGTGTCCCAACTCTTAACCCTAACCCTAACCTTAACCCTGATCTTAACCTCCTGGAATTTAGTGCAGGAAGGTTCCTACCCCGTGTCTTTCTCGAATCTTCCCGTGTGCTCAAGCGTTCAGGTATTTTGTTCAAGGCAGACTGTGCAACTAAGTTAAAGTCCTAAAGTAAACGGTCGCAGACTTACCCTTGGATGATAATCACAACGCACGTATTCAGCAAATTCGGTGTAATGCGTGAGAATATCCTTGCCTGGAGGATCCTCGAACTCACCATCGTCGATTTTGTAGCTCGGTTCTCCCAGACAGTTGGGGCCCAGGAAGTTCATGGTACCGGTTTTCTCGTGGACAGAGTTGTTCTTGGGCAAGCCCAAAATCTTCATTAATATCACTTGGAAGACTAAGTCCGCGGTAAGGTTGCCTGCCTTCAAGTCCGTCTCCATCTGGGCCTTAATTTCGGGATCCATTTGGATCGCAGCAAGATCTTTTTGGAGCGTTTTCGGGTCCATGACGAAGTGTTTGGCGTTTTCAGCGGACTAAAATGAGCAGTCAGTGGTGGGGAGTTTATAGAACGCGACAGTACGTGTTTTTGGCACAGGCCGAAGCATCGATCCGAATTCAAATGTTCTTCAGGGTTAACTTTTAGAGTATGTATAGCCTAAAGCTGATTGATAATAACAACCACTTTCGAAAATATAGGAAGCTTGTGCACGTAGACTACTTTTAATCCTGAACGGTTACAGCATAGGAGAATGTCCACTTTTAGAAAAATGTGATTGTTAAAAAAGAAATTTATCCATCCACACTCTGCATACCGGACAGACGTTCGCGTGGAACATGCCGGCTTCTGCCCTCTCAAGAAATGCTGAGAGTTCCTCGAGTGCATGAACTCAAGTGACTCGTGCACCAAGCAACATATTGAGTTGGGTGCCACATACGTAAATCTCGGAGAAAGATGAAACAGGCGGCAGCCAGTTTAAATAGGCCAATGAAATGCGACGACCATCCTTTGACACAAACGCCAAACAAGACGCAATTCTCTGTTCAACTCAGTGCTATTTAGACAATGCAAGGAAGTGTACACTACTGATAAGTATCCATGAAGTATGCACCTGACTTGAGACTCTTCGGGAAGTTGGAGGCCTATTCTTTATACGGAGACATAATAAACTTCACCAAACGACTACGCCTACTTAGTCCTAGTGCCCCCATAAACCTGCCCAGTTTTATTTTACGGAAGTCGCTCTCATTTTGTGGGGCATGATGACACGGGATTTATGTCAAAATTGTGACTGTTGTCTCTGACAACAGCATTCCCGTGTAGGCAGCGACAGCCTCAAAGGCTTATATCCATATATTTGTGAGTGATGTTAACAAGTGAAGTCGTTCATCTGTCTATACAGCTTCCGGCATTTCTCTCGTACTTGTTTGACGTTCCGTCTTCCGAATTTTTTGATATATTTTATTCCCCTGTAGCAAATAGGGAGTTCAGAGATACACACCTAAATTCCCCTCACACAAACTGGACTGAACTGGGCACTGATATATTGATTCCTACTAGTCAAGTCAAATATTTGTATTCGGCGTTGTTGACATCCTTACCTGCCCGTAATCTTGATTTTTAAAAAGATGTCGACATTTGAATATCGCATGAAATATTAACCAAGAACAAATGGTCTGTCAAACAGTCCATATGCATCACCAATAATCACTTGGAGATATGAATGGACACGTCGTAGTGAAATTTCTAACTTTTGAAAATTGATGACACCTGTCTATTCTAAGAATTCTTCCCTTGTTTGGCCTTCAGTCAAATTCCCAAACAGGATTTGCCCACCTACCTCCCGGGTCCTATAGATAGGTAGGTAAATGCAGTTTGTCGAGCACCTTAGTGAGTGATGAAGTCGTCACTTCGAGTTTATCAGGGTGTTTTATATCTTCCAATATTCTAAAACACATCCTCGATGGTTGCATTCACAGTGGGATGTGGACATTAGTTCGCCTATCCAGCAGGTTAACTCGCCGCGTCTTCAATGTCACATCAGATGGAATATATTGCAATATTCTTTAACTGTGTACTCTGTTCAAACTCAAACAGCCTATACGGGTGTTCGGTATTATTTTCTATCCTTTTCCCGATCGAAAATTCTAGTTTGTCATGCAAAATCGGAAAATATTAATGTGAAAATTTCTTTTACGCAGTCAGCCGACATATTCAATCACTATGTTCCGTGAACTGTCAAACGGCGGACGACCTATATTTCTCCTCCGCATACGAGTCGCGTTCTAATTACCTGGCTTCTGTTGATTTAGAAGTCATCACACCAGCCTCTGACACACGTCACACTGCCTTAACAGGGGTTTGTAAGAAGACGAAGTTGCGATCAGTGGAACAAGAAATTTATTAGCCAGACGTTTCGGATTCTCACTCGATTCCATCATCAGAGACATTCGCAGATAAAGTGGTCTGTAAATGGGACCTGGGCAACGCTCATTGCAAATAAACCCAAACGTCCACTTGCAGTGAGTGATGATGATGGGTAAATCCGTGGCGGCGTGATGACTGTGCACCACGAAGCCCATGCCATTTGCTGAAGAGGTGAGTTCGGGAACCCATCTAGTTCCATTAAAACCAGGGGGATCACACTTAATAGGTCGATTTCCGATGGCAGGCGGTGGCAAGCGAAACCGAACATGAATACGAAGTTTTGCTCCGATAAAGTTGACTGGACGCAGCCTTCTAGTTCCAAGGGTATAAGGGCATTCAATGAGTTAATGGAGGTAGCAACGACAGAAAGTGAGTTATGTTGAAATGCCCTACCATCACGTCTTCATTTCATGGTGAGTGATGTTCGGAAAGTAGAAGGAAGATAAGAAGTCGTTCGAACCAGTACCAGCACTAAGTGACAATTTCTTAGGGGTACCGGTACGCCAGATTATTGACCACTATGAGCTGCAGGCTATATCAACGTAAGTTCCGTTTGAAAGTAGAGAAGAGATATAGCCGTCATTGGTGGAGAAAGCGAGGGCGTAACTAAGGAAGAGTTGTGAGTGTTGCATGTATGAAATACAGGGGCAAAGGCTGCAAAGAGACCACCAGCTGAAAGATTTCAGTGTAAGAGAGGAAATAAGGACATGTATCCATTCTTTTGATGCATGGGTTTCTAAAATCAGTTGGCTGCCATCTGTTCGAGTCAGAAGTAGTTATTTGTGTTTGACACTGCAGTTAGCTGACAGAAATCTCCTAAACACTTTTAATTTTATAGCGATAAATTAATTCATCAAGTCGTACGAGGGGCAACAACATTCATGGATTTTAAACATTAACGTGTGGTAAGGTAATACTTTAAGTTTAGGAACGCAAACGTGAATGGATTAGCGAACTTTTGTGGCTTTGGCCCTTATTCTCTTGGTACGTGGAAGAGATCTAGATCGATGCTATAACTAAAACCCAAGTACCAGAAGGAGGAATTGTAAAAGTATTCTTAGGGTAGTTTATCGGCGTCAGGCGCATTAAAGGACACTGGGGGGTTAAAAAAAACTCTTTTAGTCATGATGAGCTCCACTGAAAAAGGACAGAGCTATGAATGGATGTGTTGCAAGTAATGTTGGAACATGGTTTAAGAGTGTCGACATTCAGATAGGACAAGGGACAGGCTTCGCAAGAGCGTTTTGGCAGAGATTCATATTGAGGAGAGCTGAGAGTGTGACTGCACATATATACCCATAAATTGCCACCGCAAATATGTTTTCGAACACCTAGGAGAGCGAAGTAGCTTTGTGGACTCTCCCATGATAATGAGCATCGGATTGGAGTAGAATTCAAACATGGGAAAAAATTAACGAAGTATTCAAAAATCCAGGAATGAAGACATCCGAGAGGAAGAAAATGACCTAGTTGTGTCGTAGTTGAACAGACGATGTTGCCACTTCAAAGCGGATTTACGTTGTGGATGTTGCTTATCTGCTTCTGAAAAATGGACAAAAAAAGTAAATGGTGACGATGGAGGAGGAGGAAAATCGGGTCATTGCCAGTTATACAGTGATTGAAGGAGTAAAAATTCAGTACTTCTGTTTTGGCGAATTCTCTATAGCGAACATGCTGCTGCCGCTCATCAGAAGCATGATATAATGAGTCGAAGCTGAGTAACCTGGACGAGCTGCCTCTGCTGAAACCTCTTTGTTAATATAATTCAGTATATGTGAGGTATATAGGCAGAGCCTTTGAAAACCCTATTCACAGATAGGCGTAAGAAAAAAACATGCAAATATTTACAAAGCAGTTATGTCAGTCATTTTTATCATGTAAATGTTTGATCATCAAGCATAAATTTATCTAGCCTTCTTTTGGAGGTCTCAACATTTTCGCTAAGACAACGGAATTCGGCAATTTGTTCCATCCTTCAACCAGCCGGTGGGAGAAGAATTTGACCCGCATGTCAAGTTTGGCATATTTTAGCTTCAATTTTTATTAGTGGCCTCGAAGATTTGTCGTCCGCGTCAATTCGAAGAAATCGTCAAACTGAAGAGCACCGTCCAGCCCTCAGACGATCATAAAGGCCATGATCATATGACCTCTGTATTGTTTCTAAGAGAGAAGAAATATTTTTAGTTTTTACAGGCGTCTCTCATAGGGTAAACTACTTAATACGCCAACTGGCTTTGTCGTTCTTCGTTGTACGTTCTTCAGTAGGGTATAATCTTGTTTCGACCAGGGACACCATGCCTGAACACAATATTCTAACATTGGTCGAACGAATGCTCCAAATACTCGGCCGAACAGTTCTTCATCACAAATGAGGAAGGATCTTCTACTCGCGCATAGGATACCCATAGATTTCCTTGATACCTTAGCGCAGTGAGACGATGGTCTGAGAGTTGACGTCATCTACACATCGAGGTCTCTTAACTCGTTGACTGATTCGAAATGATTATTCTTTTGATTTACTCCCATTTCTTCTCCCAAGTATTCTTCCCTATTATTAACTGAACTATCTGACGGATATCGAAATATAAATGACTTACTTTATTTACATAGTCATCTATCCATTTCAATCAGTTTTAAACTTGCGTCTAGTGAAACACCTTTAGTCCGACTTTTCGGTCCCTTATCTTCGTCCTCGTGTTCAGTTTTACCTACCGCCGCCTGTCATCCGGGATCGGCTTTTGCAGCCCGGGGACCATGGCCTTCGCAGAACACAATGGTCCCCGAACTCACCTCTCCAGCAAATGGCATGGGTTTTGCAGCACACGGCCCTTTTGACATCCTAGTTTTGCTTGACAGCCACCCTCAGCAGAATACTGCTCTGGTTGTCGAGATTTTGTGGAATCGTCCTATACCGGTCTCCCCGCACGTTCCAAGCATCGAAATATGATTGCGCGCATTCGTTATAAAATTTTTTGTTTGCTTTACGCTCTGCCTCATCTGGCATCACACAAAGCCCCTGGATTAATAGTCATGATGGCCAGCGTCAGGGCTGTGTTCGCCTTGCCTTTCGGACGTCGAGTC